AAAAGGTCAAAAAAATACAGCCGATGGCTGTCATCATCCCTTACACCAGCCTTTTTGTATTGATTGTTAGTCCAATTAAATGTGGCCCATGTAATATTATTAAAGAATTAATTTAAAGTTACTAATATTGTTCAAATTCTATTGGCTCATTGAGAAGTGAGTCAAGTGATAGTTTTATAAATATTCACTTTGATTAAAAGTGAACAGTTATTTTAATGGATCATGAAACGGCCTCTCTCTGCTTATAAATATGAATGAAACTCGTTAATTAATACATTCAATTACAGAGAGGCAAAGAAAGAGAATGTTTTCTTTATTTCCACTGGTTTCTCTTTCGTAGATTTAAATTACTTAATTATTGTCACGGATCAAGCTATGTTTCTTGATCAATTAATCTTCATTTATGAAAATCATGAATTTTAAAGATCTTGGCATTAGGGTTTAAATGCTTCCGTTGATATGCTTTTCATATGTATTGAATTACTAATATAGAACTACTACATATCATTTTCTCATTTATGGAAATTCTAACTCTTTTGTTTGGCCTCTCACAAAATCAAACTTAACCACCTAAATTTTAGAACCAAATTTGTATTTTGGGAAATTATGGAGTTCCGAGCAGTGTAACAATTGATTGAATTATGTGATAATTAAGCCGGACCATTATTTGCAAAAAACGGTGAGTTAGAGTCGTAGGTGCATTGTTTCTAGATGAATCGTAAAGTCAGCACTATGAAATTAAGAAACCAACAACAATAACTTGAGATTACATATGATGGTTAAGAAGGAACGTCCCAACTTTTATTGTCATGTAAATAAAAAACCGATTCTAAAGACATATTTTTTATTGTTCTTTTACTTGATTTTGTAGAGTTAATTTTCTTATTGTTTGAAAACTACTATTAATTTAAAAATACATGTTTTCTAAAGTATGTATTGATTATTTGGTTTTGAACTAGATTTATAATTTATCTTGTTTTTATTAGCAATGATAACAGTTTGAAACGGGGATTTTGAATTAAAAATTCAGGCCAAAACAAGAGACCATGCAAAGGCTGTACCCTTCCCCTGGCTTGCTTAAAGACATTTTTACCCTTGCCAATGAATCACCTAAACCTCACGTGAAATTTGGTGTAACTCGAGTCTCGATCCCATTACACACTGACGCATTGTAAGTGTATGGTACAAATATTTTTTTCAACTTGATCTTTGAACAAGGGCGAAATGGTCGTTGCACAAAACAAGCAACATTTAATGGGGGCGGCTGCTTTATTCTTTGTCATAGTTAATATTTTTGTACAACATCTGCTTAATTGCAAAGAGGCCCCACATAATTTTTGCAAGAATCAATTTTTAAAGAAAAAGCAGAACAAGAAAACCTCTTAATTGTATTACTAGTTTACTTATTTAGCTTTGCTACGTATGCTGTTATTAATGCTTCGACAGACTGTGATTTTAACTTGTACGAATTAGATGATAAGTATTTCGAGGTTGTTCTTTTCGATATGAGAAAAGTTGGTCATATGCTTTATCAGATCTTCGCATCGACTATTCTTTGGAGATGAAATATGCATTTATTTTCAAGAATTTGTAGTTATGAAGGACATAATGTGTAGTCATTGGGTTTTACAGATGCTCTAATGAAAGCAATGTCATTCAGCATCATTGATGTCAAGCATCATAGGAGGACCCATATGGCTCATGTGGAGTCAAGTGACACCACAAAAAAATTTGATTTTTATTTCGAAATTGAATTAATCTTTTATTTGTGGGTGAGCCTCAGAATCAAATCGAATCAAATCCATTACTCTCGTCTCTCCTCCAATTTCACTCCCAAATTCCATCATTTGAAATCTTTATGTAGGTTCTTAATTTCTGATTTAAATGAACTTTATTTAAATGAATATAATATTGCCAACCTGTAAATGAAAGGGGAGAATAAAGAAATCGGTCATAACAAGTTCAAAGTGTTTTTTGTTGCTTCTATATTCTCCACATTATTTGTTACAAAAACAAATATGGCATTCTACATATTCATTTCCCCTTCCTTAAAAAAATATTATTACTTGTACGCAAGCAATTACATAATGCTTTATGTACAAATGAGGAGGTGAAAATAGATTGAATTTTTTTTTCAAAATTTTATTTGGTTGAAGAAATTTTGATATAATCACATCTCAGCACATCAAGAGTATGCAAACTATTATGTAAATCTATTATGTACTTATAGCACAACCAATAATTTGGTGTCTTTGTTAAATAAAGCAGAATTTTGTAATGTAACAATTTAAGTCAAAAAGAACTATAACTGAATACATACATTATATACCAATAAGGGCAATTCACCGTATTAGATTTAGTTAGGGGGTATGAAAAAATGTTGGGAGTGATTTTATAAATATAATCAGAAGACTTCTACCAAGTGAAATGGCAAGTTCTATAGATTGGTTATGATAACAATTGCACTATGGTTGTCAGTCTTGGATTGTTAAAGGACATAGTGTTCACATAATTAAAATAAAAGAAACGAAAAACAAGATTACCAAGGAAAATAAATGTTAAGATCTATGAAAATGTTCAATGTGCATCTCTTTTAACTGCTAATGTATGTAGTATAGTCAAATGCTTATTATTCATTAGGGATGAGGTTGGGAAAATGCAATACCTTTAACATATTGCCCATTTCATGAATTTTCCACTCATTTTCTTCGTCACCATATGAAATGTGTCAAATCTACTGGATAGAAAAATGATGATTAAGTTGACGGTGTTTAATGAAACAAGTTTATGGGGTTGAGTAAAACTCAACGTACAACTCCAAATGTAATGGTATCCTTACTAAATTAGAAACATTACTATCGCAACAAAATGTTCTACCTTTCACGTTCAATTTGTTGGTGAGCTATTCAAATAACTTTAACAGTCTGGTGCTCCATTTTCTTAATTTCGTATACTTCTTAAAGGTCATATCTTTAGCTAAGGGAAAATCGAATTTTTTGATTAATAAAACAATTTTATCTACTTTTTGAATCAATTTCTTTCCATCACGTTATTCTCTTCAAAAAGGGTTAAAAGAAAAATAAAGTAAAGGGACAAATTACTATACTAAACATTAGTGTTCTAAAAAGCTCGCCGAGCAACGCTCAGGCACTAGGCCCGAGTGAAATGCTACGCCTTGACAATGAGTGCCTAGTGGTGCTTTGTTAATTTTTTATTTTTTATTTTTTTTAAAAGCCTTTCATTTGAGATTTGTTTCAAGTTTTTAAAAAACTTTATTTGAACAAGAGTCAAAAATAAAAATCTGTTAAAAAATTTCAAGTAAGACTTATCTGTTGAAAGTTGAAACTATAAATAAAAGTCTAATTTTTGCACTTTGAAAAATTAAAAATTGTATAATTTACTAATTGTAAGAATTATTAAATATATATAGTATGTTATAATTTTAAATGTTCGGTATATATTATTTTAATTATTAAATAATTTTTAATAAAATTTTAAATAATATTAAAAATAAATAAAAAACAAATTTTTTATTCCTAGGCCTTGGCTAGATTCGTAAAGCTTGAAAATTGGCTTTCACACCGAGTCACTCTTTATGCTTTTTAGATTACTGCTAAAAATGCACTCGTGAAAAGGAAATGAAAATTGAGAGTTTTCGTAAGAAGCACATGCAATATTCGTACTGCTATGACTGTTCACGTTACAAGATTACTTCATCTAAGTGTGTTATCAATGCTAATGAGGCTGAAAGACTTCGAGGCTTCAACCCAATAACATTTGGCGGGGTCCACCACCATGGAAAACAATACCACAGGACTAGATCAATCAAAGCCAAGGCATCTTTGATTTGAGGACGTATGTGCATTGTAACATTACATTACATGGCATTGCTATTACTTTATTTTGAAGTTTGCTTTCATTATATAAATTTTTTCACTTTTTTTTCCTCATGATTTCACAGTGCTAAGAAGGTGTAATGGTGAACCCTAAAAACTTCTTTTTTCTTTCAATCACCGTGAGAAAGAGCATAGTGAAATTTTCTTACCTTCACCGTTACAAATGTGAGATAGAAGTCATCCATTAAATTGGGAAATGAGCCATGCTTTCACTTCTGCAATTCGACTGGCATCGAAACTAGCATTATCACGTCTTTATTGATTCCAATGATGTTATTGAAGTCGTAGAAGGAAAATCAGTTCCTCCCACAATTTCACTCATCCTTTTGCTCTTTTTTTCCGACTTCTCCAACTTCAGGTTAGATCTTTATCCCTAAATCACAATAAATATAAAAACCAGGTAAAATGATAGACAAAAGAGTTCAAATGGCAAATTCTAACATCAATAAAATATAGAATCAAAAAGTAATTAAACTGAAATCGGTTGAAAAAAAATGCTAATAATCTGTCAATTAAAGTAAATTTGAAACATAAATCTGTCAATTAAATTTAAAGTAAATGTGAAACATAATCTTTCAATTATTTGCAAAATGAAGGATAAAGGTAAGAAATTTCTTGCGATTTAGTAAAAACGGAGTTGGTTTAAATGAGTCTTAAATTGAATTGAAAACAAATCCGATCGAACATTTTGCTTGGAAGGCCATATTGTGTTTGGGCTGGAACACACAAGGTGAATGAAAGTCTGCATTAAATTCTGGAAAAAATTATTGCATTCGAAATAATATACAAAATGGAATCAATTCCAAGGATACTTTTTCTTCTTTATGTAATCTTAATTGTGGTTCGTGCCGCTTTAATCTAAAGATGCGAATAAAGTGACCCACGAATTGGTTTCATATGGCACATAAGAAAGGAATTTGTTTCTTTGAGTTAATTTTATCGTGTAGTTTAGGTCTGTAGTTTGTGGGGCTTTGATTAAAATGTAAATATTGATATTGTTTCAAAGAAAGAAAAAGACTCCATAAAGCTAAATATGACCAAAATTAGGTTAAAATTATCTTTTCTTTTAAATTCAATAAATTAATAATAGACTTCTGTATGATTATCACATTACATTGGTTTTATTAACTGAATAAACAATTACAGATTGTATAATGACAATACCGTGTTAAAAAGATGTAATGGATGAACCCTTAAAACTTCGTCATCAACCTAAACCTATAAAGGATATAAAGAGAGCCATCGGTCGAGCATTGCAAGACACTGTTCAGGGTTATATTCAGGAGCCGTATGACCTGCACCCTGCAATATATAACAAATGTTTACTTCTTTTTCTATCAATCATTGTGAGAAAGAGCATATTGAAATTTTCTTACCTTCACCGTTACGAATGTGAGATAGAAGTCATTCTTCTTGTATTTCCTTGTGTATCTACAAAATAAAATGTAAATGACATTTTTAGATTAATTAATAAGATGCAATATACATGTGTGTAAATGAAAGTGAAAAATAATTGGAAACCAACCCTGCAACTTGGCCGTTAACATTCCAAGGTCTCCACTCATCATCTATGGTCAGATTGAGACCACGAATCCATTTTAAAGTACCCATATAAGGTACACCCATGTCATGATCACCACTGGAAAGAACACAAACAATTGAAAAATATTAAATCAAATTTACAAATTTGTAGAGTTAGGTTTTTCGATTAATACTTTTGCCATGACTTGTGAAACAACTATATCTCAGTTGATAGACTAGAATAAACTCAGAACAAATTAAGTCGCTCAGTTAAAAAGAAAAAACAATGAATATGACTACCTATATACCAAAGCTTCATATCCTTTCCTGCTAAGGATTTTATGATATTGAACAACACTTTCTATATTATGTTCATAGGATAAGCTGTGATTGCATCTCGTCCAATCTGTTATTGTTCCCTAGCAATCAAAATCAATGATTAACCATTATAAAGTGCAATGGATTTTTAACAATTTTGTATCAGAAGTACCTTTTTAATATGAAGAGCTTCTTGGACGATTGGATCATTTGCCCAAATATATGACGTTGCGTAAGTTTGAGGCTGCACAAAAGAAATTATGTCTTGAGAAACCCTGGTAACTCTAGGAGAGCATCCCATGAGATATATAAGTAGAGGCCGAAATTTACGCGGCACCACAATCCATCTATTTTGGATGGAAGGAAGAGGTGGTCAATGGAATCATCTTCGACAAGTGTTTGATCCCATCCCAATTCATCTGGTTTTGGTGCTATAATTTTACATTTTGGTTCCAGAATATGTCCTCCATTTACATTTTTTATACTCTGCAATATTTGATCATTTCATGAGTGTTTATGCTATACTAACTTTCAAAAATATAAAATATAATAAGATGCAAATGTTACCTCTTGGATCGGTCTAAGAGCATAAAGACATTGTAGATTTTTTGGATCAGGATTGTAATATTTCCCATCACAGCTAATTTTTGCTGACTAAAATTGTATCAAGTTACATGAATAAGGGAAATGTTTAGTTATAAAAAAATTAAGAGTAGACTCACTGATAAGTTTTGGGTATGATTAATTTTATCATCAAAATAATCGATTTAGGAATATTACTACCTCAAAATATTCATCTGGTATAAGAGCCATTCGGTGAGCATATGGAATTCGTTCATTGTAATCAATGTTTGGATCTGTTACTCCATTCCCAATAATATATCCCTATTTCAATTTTGAAAGCACTCTCTCATTAACATGATATAAGTTACAATATTTGAAAATAAAAAAGAGTTATCATATAAATAGTGAATTAATACTTGGAGAAATATTCGTGGGTGGAACCCTGCTTCATTGCCTGCATTACCAGCAACACTTACAACTTAATCAAGCATAGCTAATTAAGAAAAAAATTCGAATAAAACCAAGTTTTATATTTCTTATTTACATACTTACCTTTTAATATTTCCAAGGCAACCATGGGAACCAGTTTGCCACCATAAGAGTCCCCGGCAATATATAAACGATTTTTCATAAACATAGGGTGATTCGACAACCACTGCATTTTCAATATTTTGTTAGATCACTAACCCGAAAACACATGTGGATGGTATAGCGACTATTTTTAAATCCTGCATCGCTAGCGAGAGGCCTAGCTTATGGGTTTACAAATACATCGAAAGTTCTAGCCTCATACATTACTTTTGAGTGTGAATTGTATATAAGCAACTTTTTAATAGGTGAAATGGAGAAGCCTAATAACTTAAAATTCTAATGTCTTCAATAGCTACTTACAAATATGACTTATGATTAACAATATCAACTTACCTTTCTAAGAAATGTATAGTTGTCTTTTGCTGATTTGGTGTCTGAAGAAGAGTAACCTTTCGATGTGTTTGCATAGGAAAATCCAGTGCCAACAGGCCAATCAATAAATATAATATTGGCAACCTGCAAATCATAACGCTAAATTAGTCAGTGCTAAACTTAGAGAGCTGTAGATGAGATATGTACATGACTTTAATCATGGAGCGAGATATGTTTTTGACCTTGGTCCATGAATATGGATTTTGGTGAATAGATGGTAAGCTTCCATCAAAATCTACATCATCAAAAGCTAGTGGACCTACACAAAAGCACACAAAATTGACATGAACATCATGAAAGTTATATTTCAAATATAGGTTAATGGGGTAATCAAAATATAGCCCTGTTTGTTTCCCATTTTTACCCAAATAATTTGTATTTACCCGTCTGAATCATTAAAGCCCCATTTGTTTCCCATTTTTACCCAAAAAAATGCATTCTTCCTACCAACATGGGGTCCCACATGCTCACATCCATTTGAAATTGACTAGTGCAATATTTTACTTTCCCGAAATGCCCCCATTTCATACAAGAGCCCACTATTTTTGACTTTTCCACCTCCCATAATTTTTGCTCATTGTTGAGGATTTTAAGGGAATTGGAGTGTGAAAATCTGTTTGTGCATTAACATAAGGATAGTAATGTTAGTGGAATGGACAAGTAACGGCTCTATTTTGTCTAAAATGAGAGTGGAAAATGGGCAACAAACAGGATATATGTATTCTTTCAATTCTACGAATCTTGCTGATTATATTTAACAATTTTTAGAATTGTTTTTTTTTATTCGTTTGGAGAGACCAAGTAAAAATTTGGAAAGGGCAATGATTTTTTCAGTGCCGTAAAGTTTACTTTGTCGGATTCTATGGCCAGCTACTTGGAAATATACTCTTAGAATGGAAATTCATTCTAAACAAAACTAGTTGAAACTTAAATCACCATTGAAAATCACTAAATTAGCGAACTCACACTAGATATAGGAACTGGTTTGCTCTTCACTTGTAAATTATTGTAAAAATTTTGAGTCAGAAATTTGGGGCAATCATTCCAGCACAAAATCAAGTAAATATAAAAAAAAAAAAAAAATCCACCCTTTTTAAAATTTTGAATTTGTTGTCCATGTCATTTTGTGACAGTGTAATTCTATATGTACATTATGGTATTCATAAGGGTGTCCATAATATACATGTGGAATTCCATGGTTGAAGAGTTGAAAAAACTATTTTTCAACTCTTCATTGATATTATACCACTTGTACATTATGGATACCCTTATGGACACCATAATGTACATGTAACATAACCCACCTTTTTTTTTTACACCTATCTAGTTATCATATTTAGGCATCTTTTTGAGTTAATTGCTATTTAATTTGTTTAAAATATCGATTGTTGCAAAACATATTCAAGTTTGGATAGGTTTTGTGCAAAAGAAGTAGAAATTGGAAAAAGAAGGGTGAAAACGGAAGAATTTCAAAGTTCATGGACTGAATTACAAATATTCAAAAGTTGATTTCGACCAAAGAAGGTGATTGAAGATTGCATGGATTCAATTGAGTGAATATAGAAGATGAAGGATTGGAATTACAAGAAGAACAGACTCAAAATAAACAAAGGACAAAAGATGAGGGCCAAACTGAACATTCCTAAAGTCTATAGGGCCCGAACTGCACGACCGAAATTCTGACGGATGGGAGCTGTTTCCTATTTTGAGTCAAAACACATTTTGGAAGTCAATTTCAAAACTTGGATTTTGACATAAATTCGACCATTATAAATACACAACACTATCAAACATTGGAAGGACTTCTCTCATATCATATCATACGCATAATCTTGAAACAAAGAGAGGCCAATTAATTGTTCTTTTGGGAGAATTCAAGAGGCAATATATGAGAATTCAATCATTTGATGATTCAACATTGATTTTTGGCAAAGAAAAAGAATGTAAAGTTGGACATTAATTAAAAAACCATTGAAGAGACTCAAGATTTTGTGATTCCTCCTTTTCTTCCTATATCGAGAATCCGAATGATATTCTACAAATTAATTATGTTTTATGCAACTTAGTAATGCTATGCTAGATTATTAGTTGCTAAGATATAAATGAACCATTGTTATGAAATTTTAATAAAATATCAATATTTTGACGCCTAATATTTGTTATTCCTAGGGATTGTTATAGGGTTTAATGCCTTTGAATTACCTGATTAATAATTGAATTGATGATTCAAGAGAAATAATAAGATCTATAGCATGTTATAGTAAATATTGTGAAGTATGATCGAGTGCCTTGCAGATTTCCATAGATATTCTAAAGTTTTAACACTTGCTTTTATGTTTGCCTTTCATAGAAAGATTTATAAGGGTCACAAGAAAGAATAGATTTTCTACTCGAGATAAATTATTAAATAATCTAGGAACATTGATAATAAAAAAAAAAGAAAAAAAAAGAAAAAGAAGAGAACGATTACATATTGTCATGATATTGAATTGCATTAAATTGGATTAATAAGGAAAATTTGAAGTCGTAGCAAGTGCTTAACCTAATTTTTACAAAAAGCTTTCATAAGTTGCTCATTAAAGTAATTTAATTAATTAATTAGTATAAATTCACCATACAAACTCAACAATTCAATTAGAGTAAGCATTAATTGATACTAGATTAAATACATAATTTTTGTGAGATGATATTCATCTTATCATTATATTACTTATCTACGATACAGAGCATATGCAGATCTTTTGTGTGTTCAATTTGAATGGTGCGAATCACTTTCCATATTTTGCTGGTTGCTACTCATCATTTGCATACTGCACACACCTCTCTCTCTCGTTTATGCATAGGAAGGGTGTAATTCCCTGAGTATGTATATAAGTCCCATTTGCTGAAAGAAAATAATAATACACAAACATATAGAGAGAGTACCGATTTCATAAAAGAGGCCGGAGAGAGCAGAGCAACCAGGTCCACCCGTGAGCCAAAGCAGAATAGGGTCCGTTTTAGGATTGCCTTCGGACTCGATGAAATAGTAGAATATTTGCACTTCTTCAGTTTCTCCCACATCAATATATCTAATCATCCAAATTTATAATTTTTTTTTTTTCAGTTTCTGGAATTAAAAGTCAAAAGGAAGTTGTTAAAGAATGAAAGAAACCCACCCTGTTTCGAGTTTGACAGGCAGAGTACCCGAATAACCCGGAAGAGTCTCTATATTGAACTCTGATGCTGCCTTGCTAAAGAGAAGCTGAAGAAGAAGAAGGAGAAGAAGTGCATCAAACCATATCAACTTCATAATAATCAGCCTAGAAATTGAGCTGCAGAAACATGTATGTTTTACTGTGTTATTGGAAAATGGCATAGATCTGAGATAAACTTTTTTGAAATTGATGAGAGAGTTGATTAGAATAGGAAAAGTTGGAATATTGTATTCTTTATCTGTCCTTCATATTTGTATATTTATATTATTTATAAAACGGTCAAAAAAATACAGTCGATGGCTATCGTCATCCCTTACACCGGCCTTTTTGTATTGATTGTTAGTCCATTTAAGTGTGGCCCATGTAATATTATTAAAGCATTAATTTAAGGGAAAATTTCATAAATGAGAGTTTGAGTATCATATATTTCAAAATTAAGAAAACAAATTTTAAATTTCAAAAATCAAATTTTTATTAAAAATTATTTATGATTTAATTAATTAATTTACCAATTAAATATATTTAGATCACAGATCTATATAATTTGGTCACAAATTAACAATTTAATTAATCATTTATTATTTTTAATCACAAATTAAAAAATTTATGTCACAAATTATTTTACGATCATAATTTAAAAATTTTGTAAGTCACAATTTGTTCATCGATCACAAATCAAAAAATTAGTTCATCACGAATTAATTTTTAGTTACAACTTATTTTTGGTCACAAATCAAAAATTTTATAGGTCATATTAATTTCTGGTCACGAATCAAAAATTCACCATCGACCAAATAATTGTTTACAAGCATTTAACCCCATCTCATCCCACTTATGACCACTAAAACCACTATCATTATCACTGTTACCGCCCCGCTACCTCCAAAATATGGAAGCCGCCACCACCACCACTTCAACAAACAAAACCAATGTCTCATCGCCATCAACCACCTACACCATCACTGCACCACTAGCACAGCTACCTCTACCGCACCACCGTCAATGCAGCAAAAAATTTGAAAAAAAAATATGAACTGCAGTCAACCATCCCAGCCGCCGCACACCACCATCACACCATACACTACCACCACCGCGCCACTGCCACAAAACTAAAATAATCAATAGTGAACCACAGAAGTAACCAAATCAATGTAAACCATAGATCCAAAACCACCACCACCATCACCTCAGCCATCATCAACCAATAATCACCAACAGAGAACACATCTAAACCATAAGCAGCTGTGTATCATCGGCAGCCCAATCACCCCCAAAAATCATGTCACGGCAGCTCCGTTCATCATAGCCGTGTGTCGTCGCAGCGTTACAGAGAGTGGAGAGAGTGATTGCCACTGTTTTCTCGTCGGTGAAGTGCCATCGAAAGGCTACTGAGAGTAGGGAAGAGGCAATTGAGAGTGGAGAGGGAGACGGGTGAGAAGAGAAGACCATCACCACAACGCCATCGTCAACACTTCCAACCATCGTTGTCGCAGCTATTTATCACCAGTGATGTGCCGTTAGGAAAGGCCGCTAAGAGGTGGCGGCTAAGAGTGGGGAGGGAGACGGGTGAGAAGAGAAAGAGAGGGGAAAATATGGAGAGGGAATAATTATTTAGGGTTTGTAATAAAATTTGTATTATAATATTTAATATTAAAATATAAAACATTGATTTTTGAGATATCAAATTTTCAATCTAATTTTAGAAGGTTGAATATTTAAAGTATGGTCTTGTGTAATTTCCACTTAATTTAAAGTGATTAGTATTGTTAAAATTCTATTGGCCCATTGAGAAGTGAGTCAAGTGACAGCTTTATAAATATTCATTTTGATGGAAAGTGAATAGTTATTTTAATGGCCCATGAAACTATCCCTCTCTGCTTATAAGCGTGAATGAAACTCATTAATTAATACATTCAATTACAGGGAAGTGAAGGAAGAGAATGTTTTATTTATTTCCACTGGTTTCTCTTTTGCAGATTTAAATTCCTTAATTATTGTCATGGATCAAGGTATGTTTCTTGATCAATTAATCTTTATATGTGAAAATCATGAATTTTAAAGATCTTGACATTAGGGTTTAATTGCTTCCTTTGATATGCTTTTCATATGTATTGAATTACTAATATAGAGCAACTACATATCATTTTCTCATTTATGGAAATTCTAACTTTTCTGTCCAGCCTCGTACAAAATCAAACTTAACCACCTAAATTTTAGAACCAATTTTTTATTTTGGGAAATTATGGAGTTCCGAGCCATGTAACAATAGATTGAATTATATGATAATTAAGTCGGACCATTATTTGCAAAAACGAGGAGTTAGAGTTGAGGGTGAATTGTTTCTAGATGAATTGTAAAGTCAGCACTATGAAATTAAGAAATCAACAGCAATAACTTGAGATTACACATGATGTTTAAGAAGGAACGTCCCAACTTTTATTGTCATGTAAGTAAAAACCAATTCTAAAGACATTTTTTATTGTTCTTTTGCTTGATTTTGTGGAGTTAATTTTCTTATTGTTTGAAAACTACTATTGATTTAAAAATACATATTTTCTAAAGTATGTATTGATTATTTGGTTTTGAACTAGATTTAGAATTTATCTTGTTTTTATTAGCAATGACAACAGTTTGAAACAGGGATTTTGAATTAAAAATTCAGGCCAAAACAAGAGATCGTGGAAAGCCGGCACCCTTCCCCTGGCTTGCTTAAAGACATTTTAACCCCAGCCAATAAATCACCTAACCTCAAGTCAAATTTGGTGCAACTCGAGTCTCGATCCCATTACATAGTGACGCATTGTGAGTGTATGGTACAAATATTTTTTTTTCAACTTGATCTTTGAACAGGGGCGAAACGGTCTTTGTACAAAACAAGCAACATTTGATGGGGGTGGCTGCTTTATCTTTGTCATAATTAATATTTTTGTACAACATCTGCTTAATTGCAAAGGGGTCCCACATATTTCTTGCAAGAATCGATTTTTTAAAGAAAAAGCATAACAAGACAACCTCTTAATTGTATTGCTAGTTTACTTATTTAGCTTTGCTACATATGCTGTTATTAATGTTTCGACAGACTGTGATTTTAACTTATACGACTCAGAAGATAAATATTTCGAGGTCGTTCTTTTCGATATGAGAGAAGTTGGTCATATGCTTTTTCAAATCTACGCATCGACTACTCTTTGGAGGATGAAAATATGCGTTTATTTTCAAGAATTTGTGGTTATGAAGGACATAATGTGTAGTCAATGGGCTTTACAGATGCTCTAATGAAAGCAATGTCATTCAGCATCATTGATGTCAAGCATAATAGGCGAATCCATTTGGGTCGTGAGGAGTCAAGTGACACCACAAAAAATTTTGATTTTTTTTTCGAAATTGAATTAATTTATTATTTGTGGGTGAGCCTCAGAATCAAAGCGAATCAAATCCATTACTCTCGTCTCTCCTCCAATTTCGCTCCCAAATTCCATCGTTTGAAATCTTTACGTAGGTTCTTAATTTTCTGATTTAAATGAACTTTATTTAAATGAAAATAATATTGGCAACCTGTAAATGAAAGGAGAGGCTAAAGAAATCGGTCATAACAAGTTCAAAGTGTTTTTTGTTGCTTCTATATTCTCCACATTATTTGTTACAGAAAAAATGGCACTCTACATATTCATTTCCCCTTCCTTAAAAAATAATATTACTTGTACGCAAGCAGTTACATAATGCTTTATGTACAAATGAGGAGGTGAAAAGAGATTGAATGTTTTTTTTCAAATTTTATTTGATTGAAGAAATTTTGATATAATCACATCTCAGCACATCAAGAGTATGCAAACTATTATGTAAATCTATTATGTACATATAGCACAACCAATAATTTGGTGTCTTTGTTAAATAAAGCAGAATTTTGTAATGTAACAATTTAAGTCAAAAAGAACTATAACTAAATACATAAATTATATACCAATAAGGGCAATTCACCGTATTAGATTTAGTTGGGGGGTATGAAAAAATGCTGGGAGGGATTTTATATATATAATCAGAAGACTTCTACCAAGTGAAATGGCAAGTTCTACAGATTGGTTACGATAACAGTTACACTATGGTTGTCAGTCTTGGATTGTTAAAGGACATAATGTTCACATAATTAAAATAAAAGAAATGAAAAACAAGATTACCAAGGAAAATAAATGTTAAGATCTATGAAAATGTTCAACGTGCATATCTTTTAACTGCTAATGTATGGAGTATAGTCAAATGCTTATTATTCATTAGGGATGAGGTTGGGAAAATGCAATACCATCAACATATTTCCCATTTCATGAATTTTCCACTCATTTTCTTCGTCACCATATGAAGTGTGTCAAATCTACTGGATAGAAGAATGATGATTAAGTTGATGGAGTTTAATGAAACAAGTTTATGGTGTTGAGTAAAACTCAACGTACAACTCCAAATGTAATGGAATGCTTACCAAACAAGAACATTACTATAGCAACGAAATGTTCTTCCTTTCACGTTCAATTTGTTGGCGAGCTATTCAAAAAATTTTAACAATTTTCTGCTCCATTTTCTTAACTTCGTATACTTCTAAAAGGTCATATCTTTAGCTAAGGGAAAATCGATTTTTTTGATAAATAAAACAATATTATCTACTTTTTGAATCAATTTCTTTCCATCACGTTATTCTCTTCAAAAAGGGTTAAAAGAAAAATAAAGTAAAGGAACAAATTACTATACTAAACATTAGTGTTCTAAAAAGCTTGCCAAGCAACGCTTATTCACCAAGCCCGAGCGAAATGCTACACCTTGACAATGAGTGCGTAGTGGCGCTTTATTAATTCTTTTATTATTATTTTTTTAAAAGCCTTTCATTTGAGATTTTTTTCAAGTTTTTAAAAAACTTTATTTGAACAAGTGTCAAAAATAAAAATTTGTTAGAAAATTTCAAGTAAGACTTATCTGTTGAAAGTTGAAACTATAAAAAAAAAGTCTAATTTTTGCACTTTGAAAAATTAAAAATTGTATAATTTACTAATTGTAGGAATTATTAAATAAATATAGTATGTTATAATTTTAAATGTTCGGTATATATTATTTTAATTATTAAATAATTTTTAATAAAATTTTAAATAATATTAAAAATAAATAAAAAAACATGTTTTTTTACTCCTAGGCCTTGGCTAGATTCGTAAAGCTTGAAAATTGGCTTTCACACTGAGTCACGCTTTACGCTTTTTAGAATGCTGCGGAAAATGCACTCGTGAAAAGCAAATGAAAATTGAGATTTTTCGTAAGAAGCACATGCAATACTCGTACTGCTATGACTGTTCACGTTACAAGGTTACTTCATCTAAGTGTGTGATCAATGCTAAGGAGGCTGAATGACTTCGAGGCTTCAACCCAATAACATTTGGCGGGGTCCACCACCATGGAAAACAATACCACAGAACCAGATCAATAGAAGCCAAGGCATCTTTGATTTGATGACGTACGTGCATTGTAACATTACATGGCATTGCTATTACTTTATTTTGAAGTTTGCTTTCATTATATAATTTTTTCTCACTTTTTTCTTCTTGATTTCACAGTGCTAAAAAGGTGTGATGGATGAACCCTAAAAACTTAGCCATCAATCTGAATCTATAAAGGCTATAAAAAGAGCCATCAATTGAGCGTTGCAAGACATTGTCCAGGGTTATATTCTGGAGCCGCATGACCTGCACCCTGCAATAGATAACACATGTTTACTTCTTTTTTCTTTCAATCACCATGAGAAAGAGCATAGTGAAATTTTCTTACCTTCACCGTTACAAATGTGAGATAAAAGTCATCCATTAAATTGGGAAATGAGCCATGCTTTCACTTCTGCAATTCGACTGGCATCGAAACCAGCATTATCACGTCTTTATTGATTCCAATGATGTTATTGAAGTCGTAGAAGGAAAATCAGTTCCTCCCACAATTTCACTCATTCTTTTGCTCTTTTTTTCCGACTTCTCCAACTTCAGGTTAGATCTTTACCCCTAAATCACAATAAATATAAAAACCAGGTAAAATGATAGACAAAAGAGTTCAAATGGCAAATTCTAACATCAATAAAATATAGAATCAAAAAGTAATTAAACTGAAATCGGTTGAAAAAAAATGCTAATAATCTGTCAATTAAAGTAAATTTGAAACATAAATCTGTCAATTAAATTTAAAGTAAATGTGAAACATAATCTTTCAATTATTTGCAAAATGAAGGATAAAGGTAAGAAATTTCTTGCGATTTAGTAAAAACGGAGTTGGTTTAAATGAGTCTTAAATTGAATTGAAAACAAATCCGATCGAACATTTTGCTTGGAAGGCCATATTGTGTTTGGGCTGGAACACACAAGGTGAATGAAAGTCTGCAGTAAATTCTAGAAAAAAATTATTGCATTCGAAATAATATACAAAATGGAATCAATTCCAAGGATACTTTTTCTTCTTTATGTAAACTTAATTGTGGTTCGTGCCGCTTTAATCTTAAGATGCGAATAAAGTGACCCACGAGTTGGCTTCATATGGCACATAATAAAGGAGTTTGTTTCTTTGAGTTAATTTTATCGTGCAGTTTAGGTCTGTAGTTTGTGGGGCTTTGATTAAAATGTAAATATTGATATTGTTTCAAAGAAAGAAAAAGACTCCGTAAAGCTAAATATGACCAAAATTAGGTTAAAATTATCTTTTCTTTTAAATTCAATCATTTATAAAAGATTTCTATATGATTATCATATTACATTGGTTTTATTAACTGAATAAACAATTACAGATTATATAATGACAATACCGTTTTAAAAAGATGTAATGGATGAACCCTTAAAACTTTGTCATCAACCTAAACCTATAAAGGATATAAAGAGAGCCATCGGTCGAGCATTGCAAGACACTGTTCAGGGTTATATTCAGGAGCCGTATGACCTGCACCCTGCAATATATAACAAATGTTTACTTCCTTTTCTGTCAATCATTGTGAGAAAGAGCATATTGAAATTTTCTTACCTTCACCGTTACGAATGTGAGATAGAAGTCATTCTTCTTATATTTCCTTGTGTACCTACAAAATAAAATGTAAATGAAATTTTGAGATTAATTAATAAGATGCAATATACATGTGTGTAAATGAAAGTGATAAATAATTAGAAACCAACCCCGCAACTTGGCCGTTAACATTCCAAGGTCTCCACTCATCATCTATGGTTAGATTGAGACCATGAATCCATTTTAAAGTACCCATATAAGGCACACCCATGTCATGATCACCACTAGAAAGAACACAAACAATTGAAAAATATTAAATCAAATTTACAAATTTGTAGAGTTAGGTTTTTCAGTTTATATTTTTGCCATGACTTGTGAAACAACTATATCTCACTTGATAGACTAGAATAAACTCAGAACAAATTAAGTCACACTCTGTTTAAAAAAAAAAACAATGAATATGACTACCTATATACCAAAGCTTCATATCCTTTCTTGCTGAGGATTTTATGATATTGAACAACACTTTCGATATTATGTTCATAGGATAAGCCACGATTGCATCTCGTCCAATCTGTTATTGTTCCCTGGCAATCAAAATCAACGATTAACCATTATAAAGCGCAATGGATTTTCAACAATTTTGTATCAGAAGTACCTTTTTAATATGAAGAGCTTCTTGGACGGTTGGATCATTTGCCCAAATATATGATGTCGCATAAGTTTCAGACTGCACGAAAGAAATTATGTCTTGAGAAACCTGTTAACTATAGGAGAACATGCCATGAGATATATAAATAGAGGCCAAAATTTACGCGGCACCACAATCCATCCATTTTGGATGGGAGGAGGAGGTGGTCAATGGAATCATCGTCGGCAAGTGTTTGATCGCATCCCAATTCATCTGGTTTTGGTGCCATAATTTTACATTTTGGTTCCAGAATATGTCTTCCGTTTACATTTTTTATACTCTGCAATATTTGATCATCTCATGAGTGTTTATGCTATACTAACTTTCAAAAATGTAAAATACAAGAAGATGCAAATGTTACCTCTTGGATCAGTCTAAGAGCATAAAGACATTGTAGATTTTTTGGATCAGGATTGTAATATTTCCCATCACAGCTAATTTTTGCTGACTAAAATTGTATCAAGTTACATGAATAAGGGAAATGTTTAGTTATAAAAAAATTAAGAGTAGACTCACTGATAAGTTTTAGGTATGATTAATTTTATCATCAAAATAATCGATTCAGGAATATTACTACCTCAAAATATTCATCTGGTATAAGTGCCATTCGGTGAGCATATGGAATTCGTTCATTGAAATCAATGTTTGGATCTGTTATTCCATTCCCAATAATGTATCCCTATTTCAATTTTGAAAGCACTCTCTCATTAACATGATATATGGTACAATATTTGATAATAAAAAAGAGTTATCATATAAATAGTGAATTAATACTTGGAGAAATATTCGTGGGTGGAAGCCTGCTTCATTGCCTGCATTACCAGCAACACTTACAACTTAATCAAGCATAGCTAATTAAGAAAAAAATCGAATAAAACCAAGTTTTATATTTCTTATTTACATACTTACCTTTTAATATTTCCAAGGCAACCATGGGAACCAGTTTGCCACCATAAGATTCCCCCGCAACATATAAACGATTTTTCATAAACATAGGGTGATTCGACAACCACTGCATTTTCAATATTTTGTTAGCTCACTAACCCGAAAACACATGTGGATGGTATAGCGACTATTTTTAAATCCTGCAGCTAGCGAGAGGCCTAGCCTATGGGTTTACAAATACATCGAAAATTCTAACCTCATACATTACTTTTAAGTGTGAGTTGTATATAAGCAACTTTTTAATAGGTGAAACGGAGAAGTCTAATAACATAAAATTCTAATGTCTTCAATAGCTACTTACAAAGATGACTTATGATTAACAATATCAACTTACCTTTCTAAGAAATGTATAGTTGTCTTTTGCTGATTTAGTGTCTGAAGAAGAGTAACCTTTAGATGTGTTTGCATAGGAAAATCCAGTGCCAACGGGCCAATCAATAATTATAATATTGGCAACCTGCAAATCATTAGGCTAAATTACTGTAGTGCTAAATTTAGAGAGCTATAGATGAGATACGTACATGACTTTAATCATGGAGTGAGATATGTTTTTAACCTTGGTCCATGAATATGGATTTTGGTGAATAGATGGTAAGCTTCCATCAAAATCTGCAACATCAAAAGCTAATGGACCTACACAAAAGCACACAAAATTGACATGAACATCATGAAAGTTATATTTCAGATATAGGTTAATGGGGTAATCAAAATATAGCCCCGTTTGTTTCCCATTTTTACCCAAAAAAATGCATTCTTCCTACCAACATGGGGTCCGACATGCTGACATCCATTTGAAATTGACTAGTGCAATATTTTACTTTCCCGAAATGCCCCCATCTCATACAAAAGTCCACCCTTTTTGACTTCTCCACCTCCCATAATTTTTGCTCATTGTTGAGGATTGTAAAGGAATTGGAGTGTAAAAATTTGTTTGTGCAGTAACATAAGGACAGTAATGTCAGTGGAATGGACAAGTAACGGCTCTATTTTGTCTAAAATGGGAGTGGAAAATGGGCAACAAACATGGGCATAATATTCTTTCAATTCGGTGAATCTTGCTGATTATATTTAACAATTTTTAGAATTGATTTTTTTTTATTCGTTTGGAGAGACCGAGTAAAAATTTGGAAAAGGCAATGATTTTTTTGGTGCCGTAAAGTTTACCTTGTCGGATTCTATGGCCAGCTCCTTGGAAATATACTCTTAGAATGGAAATTAATTCTAAACAAAACTAGTTGAAACTTAAATCACCATTAAAAATCACTAAATTAGCGAACTCACACTAGATATAGGAACTGGTTTGCTCTTCACTTGTAAATTATTGTAAAAATTTTGAGTTAGAAATTTGGGGCAATCATTCCAGCACAAAGTCAATTAAAAATAGAAAAAAAAAATCCATCCTTTTTAATATTTTGAATTTGTTGTCTATGTCATTTTGTGATAGTGTAATTCTATATGTACATTATGGTATCCATAAGGGTGTCCATAATATATATGTGAAATTCCATAGTCGGAGGATTGAAAAAACTATTTTTCAACTCTTCATTGATGTACATGTAACATGACCCACTTTTTTTTTTTTTACACCTATCTAGTTATCATATTTAGGCATCTTTTTGAGTTAATTGCTATTTAATTTGTTTAAATATCGATTGTTGCAAAACATATTCAAGTTTGGATAGGTTTTGCGCAAAAGAAGTAGAAATTGGAAAAAGAAGGGTGAAAAAGAAAGAATTTCAAAAGTTGATTTCGACCAAAGAAGGTGATTGAAGATTGCATGGATTCAATTGAGTGAATATAGAAGATGAAGGATTGGAATTGCAAGAAGAACAGACTCAAAATAAACAAAGGACAAAAGATGAGGGCCAAACTGAACATTCCTAAAGTCTATAGGGCACGAAATGCACGACCCAAATTCTGACAGATGGGAGCTGTTTCCTATTTTGAGTCAAAACACATTTTGGAAGTCAATTTCAAAACTTGGATTTCGACATAGATTCGACCATTATAAATACACAACACCATCAAACATTGGAAGGACTTCTCTCGTATCATATCATACGCATAATCTTGCAACTAAGAGAGGCCAATTAATTGTTCTTTTGGGAGAATTCAAGAGGCAATATATGAGAATTCAATCATTTGAAGATTCAACATTGATTTTTGGCAAAGAAAAAGAATGTAAAGTTGGACATTAATTAAAAAACCATTGAAGAGACTCAAAATTTCGTGATTCCTCCTTTTCTTCCTATATCGAGAATCCGAATGATGTTCTACAAATTAATTATGATTTAATGCAACTTAGTAATGCTATGCTAGATTATTAGTTGCTAAGATATAAATGAACCATTGTTATGAAATTTTAATAAAATATCAATATTTTGACGCCTCATATTTGTTATTCCTAGGAATTGTTATAGGGTTTAATGCCTTTGAATTACCTGATTAATAATTGAATTGATGATTCAAGAGAAATAATAAGATCTATAGCATGTTATAGTAAATATTGTGAAGTATGAT